AATAAGTGGAAATAGGTATAAATATTTTCACAGTGTCAAACTTGACCCTTTTTTTATTATCAATGATACAAATACGACCATGTGAAACAGTTTTTTAACTAATGTATTGCTTTCTTGCTGGGTGGCTTTCCTACGATTGCTTGCGGAGTGTTCCCATCGACAAATACTTTGTTTGTGATTTGCTGTCAAAGAATTATGTGTACTGTAATTCACAACAACTGATGACGTTTACCACAAAATGTCATCTCTGGTACTTAACGATGAATTTAAAGTTAGTATCATGAATAATATTTATTATAATAATTTATATTACAAAAAGCAATTGTCAGGCTACATTGAGCTGAATTCTTCGAATACATTGCATCTGTTCGAACTATATTTCACTCAATTTCACCAAAGAATCAACGTGTTATATATACACGGGAGAACACAAAACAAATTTATTCTTAGTCGATAAACCCGTTCCGCTACGCTCGCTGACATTGAAGTAAAACTTGTTCTTAAATTTAATAAGGTAGTACTTTTCAAAATCCCAAAAAACATTCGATCTATATTTATTCAGTAATTTGGCAGATGAAATCGTATAGTGTTCGACAGAAACCGTATGCTATTGCTCAAATTAGGATTGATATTTAAAAAATAAATGTCAATATTGCTTCTAGCAATACGACATGTTATCTCCGCAAATAAACTCTAATTATCGAAACTTCTAACCCATTAAGAGGAAACGCGAACTCTTCTGGCGATGTATCACCCATAGATACACGAGGCTTTAGATGTAAAGTATAATGTACCGAACATATTCTCAGTTGGCGGTGAAGCCCACTACGGAGTTGCTGTCGAACATGACTTGGATATTTAAAATGATGCTCCCACTACGCACTAAAGTATGATGACTCTCCCTATAGCTATTACTGGATTAAGAAGTGGGATTAAAGAGGAAGCTAGACAAATGCGAGACAGTGGACATTAGACACATTTACACAATTTATTCATATTTTTTATCTTCGATCATATTTTTGAGAAATACATTTTTTTAAAGGATTCAATATACTTATATATAATGACACACGACGAAACTAAGAAAAAACGTGAATGACGCAAGTGATTCGGAAATGACATTTACAGAACCCGATTACATATATCTGTTAGTATGTCATCTTCACCTTACTTCACTTCAGTTCAACAATCAATCAAAGCTAGTTGCCAACAGTGTCAAAAGCAGTCACATCATTTCCGTATTTATATTTACGTCATTATTTAGTTTCCGGAAATGTGCATACAAATATAGACAGTAGTCGCTGCTTTGCCAACGTCTTCACATTGACGGATCTCCCATCCGAATTTGAATCATTCACGATTGAATATATCAAACATCATATGCATTAGCGAATAAATTAATTCGTATTGAAATAATTGTGAATACAGAGAGTATATGAAAACATACAAGTATTTCTTGTAAATACAATGTATCGCATAATATGAAATGACGGGAATACTTACAGTGAAAAAACAGTCATCTCCGCGATTTGTTACGGCGAATAATATAACGCGCCAATAACGTGACGAGCACGACACACACAGAAGCACTCGAGTGGCGTGATAATAACTATAAGGGACTTATAAGTGGGTGTTTTGCCGGGTCTTAGTCTTGGAAATTGCGTGCGAATCGCGGATAAACCAAACTACAGCCAAGGAAGTGAATTGTAACAATTGTTAAGAACAGATTGATTATTTCTTTCTTTTGGGGGCAGCTGAATTGATAACGTCAACAAGCAGACAACGTCCACTGCAATACGTATCTGACGTTGCGTAATTAATGTTCAAACTGATTCGGTGAATTCAATGGGCTTGAAATAACGTTTCCTGAAAAGTTTAAACATAATTCTGCTTACCCTTTTCCATGCAGCAAACTGTGATCAGAAATGCAGTATTGGTGGCGACGTTTGCAGACTTGCTAGCCTGACGGTTTGATTCCGCGTGGCTCGTTGAGTGAACTATTACATGAACTTGCTAGGCAACCAATCGAATCAACTACTCTAAGTTTAGCTTACATAGCAACAACACGGTAATTTATCATGGAACCGCATCTCACCGGTTCGGAACACATCCCATGGCAACAAGGTTCGCAGAATGTGAACAATCCGTACAAAGACTATATCAATTTCGTATTTCATTCTTGTGTTCTGCAACATCGAGGTTTTCAGTAAACTTTGAACAATTTCCTTGGAAAATGTTTCACAATCATGCACGTTTGACGCTATATGTAAGAACTTGTCGCGGAGCAGGGGGCGCAATGAGAATGATTACCATGGAAATGCAACGTTTTTCTGCGTGCAATTCTTATTATTAAATTCCGTCGTTTTTTTCTTCCGTCCGTCCTAATAACAAGACATTTTGTTGCAGTGATCCGCGTACTGCGCGGGACTACCATCGTTTGAACATAGTATAATAATATTCAACAATCTACTAGTATATGCATGAGCATATGAAAAGGTGCTTCGCCAAACAACATTCTTATTTTGACACAATATATATTTTGACACAGCTCAGCAGTTAAAACTACCTGGCGTCTGTATGTCCTTAACTTAAAAAAATAATTCCCCCCAAATACGGCGGTAGTTCGAATTCTACTCGTACTTAACCATGCATAGTGATAACACCATTGTCACATGAATATTAGCCTACCAGAAGAATTTGCGGAATTGGTCTATAATGTGGTATATTACAAGCGTGGGGGACTATTATATACAGATTTTACATGGACAATGTCGACGCATACACGTAGTACTACTACCAGAATCAGGCGAATTTATGTGACTTTGTCTAAGCTAATTGAACCAGCAATTTCTCAGCCTTTCTCAAGACTATATATATATCTCGTGTCTAGACACCGGAGAGATTATACCTCAATTGACTTTTTTATCTGGTATATGAAGCACATGCCATACCAGACAGTGGTGATACAGTAGCATACTTTCATCTCAGGATGTTGATAACTTGGATTAAGATCATGTTCGCAATTGCGTTTGTAAACTAGTCTATTTTGTGCACAAAACATCAGAATATTGGCAACAAACAGTACAGTAAACTGAAGCGATTCACCAAATGTCAACGGAATTAGAAGCATACTATACTTTCACAAATTGAAGTTTTTACTTTAATTATTCTAGAATCGACTTGGTGTGATAGTGGTGTACCTTTGAGTGTAATAGTATGCTTATTTATTACCCTTGAGAGATATATCAATTAATCATTACTCACTAGTTCTGAAGGGTACGAGTTATTGCTGTTTAAAATGCCATTCAATTAATAAATTGTGGTTTTTGAGCTATTGAGGATTTGGTTAACTCAAAGAAAATTGTCGTAATCAAGTTATTTCGATATTAGTGTGAATTATTCACGACCAGTTATTTCGAAATTTACAGTTTGTGATGCGAGTTTTGGTTATGATTTTATGCATATATGCATATTTGGGTAGCAGCAACCAGACCACATAGTTAGATATATCGAATAAAATGAATTAAATATGCAAAGTGGATTATTGATAGAATATAAAATAAACTTTCTGAAAATAGTTAACTAGTATGCAAGATTACTATCAGACATAATACACAAACAAAATGTACACATTGTCATCCGTCCATTCGAGTAGCTAAATTATACGAACAAAACAATTCCAAACTGGTCAAATTTCCTAATTAGTATGCACAGATTTGTACCAACAACTAATCAAGTCTGGAGTATCTGTATAACGAAATACATTACAATTGGTGGAACAAGATTTAACACACATCTGTATGACAATTTCCTGTTTGTGCTTTACAGGAATGCTAAAAATAATGTCTGAAAGACGCAATGGCAACCAAGAAAACATTATACGAACACAATCTGGTTTTCATTATATACATATAAATATTCCATATTTACTTTATTATACATATAATTACGAGTATGTACACACATCACGATAACATAAATTTTAAAATACATACTGTTATGAAAAGAAAGACTAACAAGTAAAAAAACAGTAACATTGTTCATTCAACAGTTCTCAATTCTCATCATCTATAAACTCTGAGTCTATAATATGTTAGGCATTTTGTCCATTATTGCATGATTATTATGCAGGTTATCATAGTTTCTATGGTACTGTTTTGTGTTATTATTTCACAGTTTATTTTATTATGTTTTGTTCTGTGATGTACAAAAGTGATAATGATATTGTGTTTCACTGACATGCTAGACAAAAGGTACTGAGCACATTGACTTTTCTCATCTATAGTGAAAAAGGTGTTCTTCATTACAAAGATAACGTTTTCCAGGTAAGAAGCATGTGTAAAGAAAACTACACAATTGGAGAGCATTTACAACAGATATAATATTACCTATATAACATATTTTCTCATTTCGACTCAATTCTATGTTTACAAACTGTATGTGGTTCACAACTTCCATCTTAAAGTGTGTCAGTTTACTAAAAGATGCATAATACAAAATTACAGGAATAAATGCATTGAATGGGTTACATAATTACAATAAGTATTAATATTCCTTTGTTATGGCCATACAAGAAACAAGCCCACAAATTAACTAGCCGTTTTCATTACCCTGGATAGTAGCTGCTACCTTCCACATTTTTGTTGTTGAAATCCTGATATATTTGATGAAATTACTTGAATCTAATCGGTATTTTTTGGGCAGCGTTTTCAAGCAAAGTGCTTAACTGGATAAAAGTAGCTAGAAGAAGCGTGATCAGGTTCAATGTATATTTATCGATTTGGATGAAATTAGCACCTGAGCTGGATACAAACTTCATCTCAGTTGACTGCATACAATGATTGGATTACGCAAGAGATGTTTTGAATTAGTGATATCAGAATAACAGTTAGCACTGTTGCCTAAGGGAATATTCTTAGTAATTTAGGTTGTGGCAGATGAGTGAATTGATTCATGGGAGAGTTCCTGCTGGTGATGTGTTTGCAATTCATATCCACAGATGAACCTGGCATGTATACTTTTATTTATTATCAAATTTATCAATAATAGAGTCTATTAGAGTATTGCCATTGATTATTGCCGTGGTTGCTACGATAAATCTATAACCTGAAATATAAAAAAAAACATGCATGTCAATCACTACGTGTCACTCTCATGATTTCGGTAAACAGACATTTCATAGAATGTTAATTTAAATCTATTTTGAATACAATGGTTTCAGAGAAGGTTATTTTGAATACAATGGTTTCAGAGAAAGAGTTATTTCGAAAACAATTGTTCCAGAGAAGACATTATTCCGAAAACAATAATTTCACAGAAGAAGTTATTTATTATTGTTGACAAAGATTTCCTAAAAAGTAGGAAGTGGGTAGGATTGATGGCATTGTAACAAAATAAGACAAATCTGATTAAGGTCCACCCATGGTACCAGAAACCAATCGAGGGTAGGAAATATGACCCCCATGGCAATATGTATTATGTGAATATGGTAGGATCACACCACTGTTAATGTTAACTACAATGAAAAAACAAACCAGATGTATGTCTAATAATTATAGTACACTACCTTTTCTATTACCAAGTAATCTCAGTGCAGCTATCTCAGCAAATGTACATCCACCCAGGAAATATACCAACACTACTTTGTTCGATAATGAATCTGATGTGCCTTTACCTGCACAGAGAAAATATATTCAACATTAGAATTAGTTCCTTATTTGGAAAAAAATAATTACATTATATATGGAAGAATTAGTTCCTCATTTGGAAGAAATAATTACATTATATGGAAGAAATAGCTCCTTATTTGGTAGAAATAATTACATTATATGGAAGAAATAGCTCTTTATTTGGAAGAAATAATTACATTACATGTATTTGGAAGAAATAATCCCCTGAAGTATATGAAGACAGACATAGTAGCACTGAGCACAGGAAATTATTTCTAGCACCAAACTTAATGTTTTTATATCCTATGAATTCTTATTAATGTAATGAATAACTCGACAACAATCAAAATGGTGTAAATCCTGATGTGTAACTGACATGAATAAACTTATTAAGTATTGTAACAATACTTGAACTTACTTTTTGCAGACTTGGCTTTCATATGAGAAAAAGTAAGACCTGGAAACAGTTTGGTGATATCCTCCAAACCAGACCAGCCTCCTCTAATCAACAACTACAATGAATAACACAGTGACACTCAGAAGAGAAACTAAACAAATGAAACATAACAAAACCTAATATGTGCAGGTGTCAATGTTTTAAAAATAGTGTTATTGTGCAATGGTGCACATTGTACATCACGAAAATGAATATACAAGGCTGGGCCACACGGTAAGATTAAAATAAAATCTTACAGTGTAAAATAGGATTTCAAAGTAAAATTATTAGAAATCATAGTTGAATACGTATGACAAGTTGAATACCATCAGAATAACAGCCACCATTCAAGCCAAGTTCAAGAAACAGAAAAAGAAATTGACATGCTTATATATATTATATCATGTCCTATCTTTGCCAGAGAAATGTAGACAGACAAAGGGACAGACGAATTTCAGATTGTGTCACAACTTACCTCGTCAACCAATCTACATGAGATTGGAGTATATGCACCGCTGAAGACGTACCCCATGTCTTCCGGGTTTTTCACATCATAGTCATCAATCTTTGGAACCTGTAAAGGAAACAAAAACAAGATACTGCAATGACAGTCGCAAAGCATGTTTTATGAGTTTCATTCACATCTATTTTGGGTACTTCATTCACTCACATTTTTTAAAAATTATAGATTAAAGGACGGTAATCATCGCGGCACACATGCGTGAGATATATGGGTCTTATATAAACAAAGATGGTGACTTTGAATGTTGCGCAGATCAACAAGTACAAACAGAGATGTTACCAAGCTCTAATTTGGTATTTTTTAGGTGATTGGAAGGTATCGAAGGACTCACTGGCGGTAATTAGTGCAAGTTGTGCCCAGGTCAAACCTCATACTTGTGATTTCCATTAGATGAGCGCATTGGACCATCGTCCTTCAAGCGTTTAAACTTGTGCATTATGATCCTCGGTATGCAAATTTAAGTCAATTCAGCAATTAATGTTGCTAAAATTTCATTATGAAAGAAAAATGCCAATCATGTAAATCACAAAAACGGATATCACTTATAGAATGTTTAGTTACTACTTGCAATTTGCTCATAATTAAAATAAAGGAGAAACAAAAGTAACTGTCACATGGCATAAACAGAAATATGATAATTTAGATATAATAAAGTCCTTGTTTAAATCTTGTATATTTATAAGGTGTATTAAGTATAATATAAAATTTGAGGTTGACAATTGAGGGTGCCCTTGATGAAATAGTGCGTAAAGGGGGAGTTTAATTTGCACCAACTGAGCAATGCACCTGACTTTGACCAGTGAATTCATAGTGTCCAGACTAATTTAGGAATTTGCACTTTGGAAAAAGTCATTTATTATTTGATTATTATTATATGAAAGCCAAAATTGTTATGTTGCAAAGAGAAGCGATGTGCATTCCTTCAATCAACAATAAATTTCTTACCAATGCTAACTTTTTGCTGACTGCTTTGAAAAAGCTTTTCTTCTGCAGGGAAGTGACTTTATCCACAATGATGTTACTTTCTCCAGTTTGTTGCTGTTCAACAAATATGCCTAACTTTTTTAACTTTGAAAAACTGATCGTGTGTTCGTAACCATGGCTCTGAAGAAACAACG